GGAGTGGCTCTGGGGGCTGCAGGGACAGACTGGCACTGGGGCAGGGCTAATGATGAGAGCAGCTCCACACACTTCCTTTAGCCCCTGCAGCTTCTTCCCTGCCCCTACTCCCAATCTGCCCTTCCTGAGGGCCTGTTTGAAGTCACAACTCATGTGTCCCATCTGCCCACGTGGGGACGGGTGAGACCCGCTCACAGGGCTCTGCCATCAATTCAGTTGAGCCCTTTGGGTCTGCCCTGGCAGGGAACATGGCTGGCACCTCCCCAGCTCCCAGGCTGTGTCTAGACTGGCAAGTATTTCCACAAAAGCAGCTGCTTTTGCGGAAAAACTTGCCAGCTGTCTACACTGGCCGCTTGAATTTCTGCAAGAACACTGACGATCTCACGTAAGAAATCAGTGCTTCTTGTGGAAATACTATGCTGCTCCCGGTCGGGCAAAAGTCCTTTTGCGCAAAAGGGCCAGTGTAGACAGCTCAGATTTGTTTTGCGCAAAAAAGTCCCGATCGCGAAAATGGCGATTGGGGCTTTCTTGTGCAAAACCACGTCTAGATTGGCACGGACGCTTTTGCGGAAAAGCGTCCGTTCCAATCTAGACGCTCTTTTCCGCAAATGCTTTTAACAGAAAACTTTTCCATTAAAAGCATTTGCGGAAAATCATGCCAGTCTAGACGTAGCCCCAGCGAGTGGCATCGCACTGGGCATGCTGGGGGTGTTGCTGTGGCATGCGTGGGCAACGTGCTGGTGCTGTGGGCCAGCTTGGCTGCGTCTCACTCAGTGACCGGCAACTGGGGGGCTGGGCATGGGCTCTGACAGGCACGTGCTAGGTTCCTTCTCCCTGCTGCCTGGACCCAGGCTCTGGGCTAGGGGAAGCACCTGACTTCATCCTTGTGTGAAGCCACCTGTCCTGCCACCCGGGCAGCGATCCTGCTGTCCTCTCCAGGCCCCTGCGTCCAGATCTCCCCTTCTCCTCCAGGATGGCATCAACCCACAGCGTCTGCCATCCCTCACCTCAGTGGCAGCCTGGATCCCTGGGCTCTGTCCCAACTACAGCACTGGGCCCGGTCCCCCATGCCTGAGTTTCCCCATCTGTCTTCATGGGGCGCCAGGCCAGAGCTGGGCTTGCCGTGGTAATGGGGGCAGGGGATGTGGTCAGGAGCTTGGGACCAAGTGGGTTCGAGCGGGGGCAGAGCTGGCTCGCTCCTCTGTGCGTGTTGCTGCAGGAGCGAACATTTGAAATGCAGCCACAGCTCATCTTCATAGCTTCAAGCACCAAAATGATACAGCCTCACAGATAGCACACCGCTAGCCAGCAAACCACGCGCCTTACGTCCATGTCTCCCTTGGCCCACTTTGTACAGGATTTGGTGCAACTGGTAACATCACTGCTAATGTGGCAGGGGGACCCCCACACGCCTGGTGCGGGGCACAAGCCCAGTTCTAGGCCCTGGGAACTGAATGGGCAGAGGGAGGTTGCCATCCCCACCCCGTCATACTGGAACCCACAAGTGTGTTGCTGAGACCTAATCTCTCGTGTGAAGCTGGGCAGGCAACAGGTCAGGTGGGCGGGGGTGCAGGGCTCCTGTTGGGATGGCAGGAGCAGCTCCCGGAAGCTTTTGGGAGAATTAGGCAACTAGTCTCCCAGCCAGCTCTGCCGGTGCCCCTCACTCCTGACCTGCAGCCTCTGCTAGCTCAGCCCTGGGATCCCCGCTCTCCCAGTGCCCCATACTCCTGCCCTGCAGCTCTGTGGTCGACTCGGGCTGTAGAAAGCCTTTTCTCCATGATAGGATCAGCTGCAGCGCCTCAGGGGTGTCAGGTCAGGCCCCGCTGTGCAGCCCGGCAGGCATTCACCCTTGTCCCTCCTCTCTGTCGGCAGATGGCATCCACAGCGTGGCAGCCCAGTGCACCCTGCAGGTGACCATCATCACGGACGAGATGCTGACCAACAGCATCACGCTGCGCCTGGAGAACATGTCTCAGGAGAGCGTGGCAGCCCAGTGCACCCTGCAGGTGACCATCATCACGGACGAGATGCTGACCAACAGCATCACGCTGCGCCTGGAGAACATGTCTCAGGAGCGCTTCCTCTCGCCGCGCCTGGCACGCTTCCTGCAGGGGGTGGCAGCCCT